CCTGTCCGTCTACCTGCACGTGGACGAGGTAGCGGCCCGCTTCACGGGGCGGGCGGGGGCGCGCGTTCGGGGCCTGGCGGATTCCGGTTTCTTCGTGGACACCGCCCCGCCCTCGGCACTGGGAAATCATGGCAACGAGAAGGATGGGGGCGCAAGGTGCGAGGGCGGGCAGAGCGGCGGTGAGACGCTGCGGTGGCTGGCGAGCAGGCAGTTTGCCCCCGCGCTGAGCCCAGAGGCCGTGGGCTGCCTGGCCGCGGGGGGGTCGGGGCCACAGGGTGAGGACGCTGTCGAGACGGTGTTGGGCGCGGGGAAGGTCCCAGGACAGGGGCGGCGTTACATGCATGCGGGGCCCTCGACGCGCCTGAGGACCCTGGAGGCGCTCTTCCCCGCTCAATCCCTCGTCCGACATACCGCCCCTCCCTCCCCCCCGTCCCTTTTCCCTCCCCCGCCTGGGGACACAGAGGCCGAGGTCCGAGCTCGCTGTCTCTTTGCACGCCACCTGCTTCCCTCCCTCCGCACCCCGGTCTTCTCCTTCTTCAGCCGCTACGACGGCGCCCAGACCTCGAGCTTCGCCTGCCTAACCGACCCGGAGGGGCAGGCGGAGGCTGTGAATGCGGCCTCCCGGGCCTTCGTGCGCGCTTTCCGCGAGAGCCTGGCCGCCTCCGCCGTCCCCCACGGCTACTTCATCGACGCCTGCTTTCGGCACTGCTTCTGGGAGCTGGTGCCCGCGCCCCCCTCGTTTCCGTTGGAAGGGTCGACCGTGGGGGCGCTGCCCATGTCCTCGAGTGTGATCAACCCCTGGACCTCCCTCAAGGCGCCCTCGGGCAGGTCCGCGGCCGAGATCTTCCTGGCCTGGTATGAGGGTCGAGGGGGGCTGGACGACTGGCGCGAGGAGAGGACGGAGGCCTTTCCCTGCCTGAGCTGTTGTCGGGGCTGAGGGTGCGCGTCGGGGAGCGGTTCCACATGGCGGGGGATGGAGACGGGGGAGGGTGTGAAGGGATGAGGGGTAAGACAAAAAGGTCTGTGATTGACTACGGGCCCGCCAGAAGAAAGGGGGTTGGGCATGGAACAAGACGGGAGGAGAGCTCGCGTCGCGAGTCCTGGCCGCGGGTTGTATTTAAGGGCTAATAAGAATGTGTGACAGGGAAGCAGGTGTGTGAGTGCCCCCCGCCCACACCAAATGTAAGGCAGCGTGTGTCGAGAGAAATCCAGCAAAGCTCCAAAACCAAACTCAGGAGCCACGCGCCTCTGGCCTCATGTTTCACCCACATTGCTTTTCCGTGCAGCTCACAACTCATCCATATCCAACTCCTCCTCCTCCTCCCCCCCCCCTCCCTTTCTCCGATGCCGCTCGGCGTCTTTCCTCCTGCCGCCGTTCATATTTGGCCTCCGCCTCTTCCAGCTTGCGTCTGGCTGTGTCCATAAAGGTCGCCGGCACCTTGGCCAGGATCACGCTGTGCTGCGCCCCTCCGTCCACCTTCAAGACCTCGAAACCCCTCGCCCCCCCCCCATCGCCCCCCCCCCTAGCCTGCGACATGTCCACCAAGCGCGGGCAGGGCTCGTCTGAGGTCTCCTCCCCCCTGGCGGGCCGGTGCCCGAGCTGGCCCATCTCCCCGAAGCCCCAGGAGTAGACCTGGTTGCTGCTGGTGGTGGCCAAGTTGAAGGTGCCTCCACAGGACACGCCCGTCACGAAGGGCGGCTTGCCCGTGCCCGCCTCCCGCGCCGGGAAGAGGACAGGAACGGGCAGAGCCTCCGAGGCTCCCGGCGCCAGCACCCCGCCCGCCCGGCCGATGCCCAGCTGGGAGGAATCGGAGCGCCCGAAGGCAAAGAGCTTCCCTGTGGGCCCTGCCAGGGCCATAGAGTGGTGCGCCCCCCCCGTCACCTCCGTGATACCCCGCCCGTCTAACCCCTCCACGTGCTCCAGCAAATAACGATTCTCCCGGTGGCCCAGCCCGACGCTGACCGTAGTTGTTCAAGCCCGCCGCCCACACCTCCGCGCGCACGGCCATCACCACCATGCTGTGGTTGTACCCGGCGCCGATCGCCTTCACGCCCGTGGCCAGCCGACCCCCCGCCAGCTGCATGGGCCGCGGTGTCAAATGCTCCTTCCAGACCCCGGTAGAGCTCATACTCCGCCTTTCCCCCGTCCTCCTCCGCCTCCTCCGCCCGGAGCTCGAGCGTGATCGCCCGGCCCAGCTCCCCGCTCTCCCCGATGCCCCAGGAGACCACCGTCGAGTCCGCCAAGAGCGCCAGGTTGGTGGATGCGCCGGCTCGGATCTCCCGGACGTGCTCCAGCCCCGGGAGCCGCATGGGCCCCGTCTGCTTCCGAAGGATCTCGCGCTCCGAGGAGGCGCTGTTGAAGAACATCTTCCCCTCCTTGTCCTTGTAGCACCCCCACCCGTAGACGCTGCCCTCCACTGTCAGGACCAGCGAGTGGCTGTCCCCCGCCGCCACTCCGATCACGGTCTCATGCCGCACGTCCGACACCAGATGGGGCTCCGCCTCGTGTCCCCCCCGGCCCAGGGCCCCGTCGTCGTTGCACCCCCAGGTGTAGACACGCCCGTCCGAGGTGGTGGCCACGTTGTGGAGGGCCCCGCAGGCGATGTTGCACACGTTCTTGCCGCGCAGGGCGTACACGACGCGGGGGGCGACGACCAGGATGTCGGAGGCAGACCGGTCCCCGTGGGCGCACTGCCCACACTCGCTGGAGCCGAACTGAGGGCAAGGGGAAGGAGGAGGAATGTCGGTCAGACGACGAGGTAAAGGCGTTACGAGCCCAAGCCATCCCGCTCTGTGCGGCCTCCCTCGGACGCAGCATGTCCTCCCGCCTTTGCCCCGTCTCACAACCCCCCTCTCAACCACTTTCTCGCGTAAAATACCCCTTGTACTTGCACGCACCGTAAAAACTTCGCCTTGTTTGCGCAGGTAGCGTCCATCCAGCTGCGTCACATAGCTCAGGTACTCGAGGGCGTTCTCACACAGGCTTACGCCCGGGTCCCGAGACACCTGGTCGACCACCCAGGCCTGGAAGCGGCCGTTTAAGGCTTTGACGGCCTCCTGTTTGTATCGAATCGATGCGGGTTCAGTGTTGTGCGAGGTAGTAACGTGATACTTTGTGTCTGGCAGTCCTAAGCGCGTGAGAGCGCGTCGGGGCAACTTATCAGGCAGCGAGAGGCTAATTTTTAACTTGCAGACCTACCAGATATTCTTTCCGTCGATCTAGTTTCTTGGGCTTGACGAAACGCCGCGAAGCCAGGGTCGATGGAGTGGCCCGTTGGAAAGAAGCGGCAGATGAGGCCTGGCTAGCCTCACCGACGGGGCCTCCGGGAAGCTCTCCATTAGCACTCTGCCCGTAAGGGAGGGTGGTGATGAACGAAGACTCCGCTTCATAGTACGCCTCTTTGCTAACCTGACCATCCATGCGGGAACGCTTCATCCTGGATTAAATGAATATTTGTGCCAATGCGAGAAAATAATCGATCAATCAAAAGAACCAAATCGCTTCCACGCGATGGTCGAACGCAACTGGAAGCTTGCAGGGTGGGAGTACTAAATGGGTATAGACAACGAAAGAAGAGGGACTCCAGGAATCAGTACATTACACCGGGAAAATGGTAGTAGAAGACAATGTGTAAAAAGGGCCTTCCATCCCTAATGTAGGAAGTGCGGAGTCCGTGCAGGGGCTTAACCACAAAGTTAAGGGAAAGCAAGGGCATGGAACAAAGCAGGGACGTTCCTGAAAGCTACCTCTCGCCTTTTTCCAAGCTTGTGATTTTCATAAACATTACTTACAAAACACCCTCACAAAAAAGCGAATGACTGTGACAATTCGTGGGTGAACAAAGCCTCCAAATTTTGCAGTATGTGCGCCCCCTGCGGCGGATCTGGCAGAAAACCCCACTGACCCCCTGTACCCCCCACGCCTTTTCTTCCGGGCAGCAAGGCCGTGGGCACACCCCGCGCGTGCAACAGCCCCTGGATGTCTTTCCTGAGCAGGTATATTGCCCATTCAAAACGCTCTCGTTCAACACCCCGTCGGTAGAGGGGGAAAACAGGATATCCGACGGTCGCATCGCGAATGAGAGAGCGGGATGCCCGGGGCTCGAGCGCGTATCGTAAAGGCACTTCTAGGTATTTGGAGAGCATCACCAGCACGTGGCACACGTACCCGAGGGCGGAGGCAACAACCTCGTCGTCTTTGGGCGCGTGCACCACGTCCGCCGGCAGTTCCAGTCCGCGGATCCGATATTCTTGCTCCCCGCCCCCTGCTCGATCGGATAAATGCGCCGGAGCCCTGCCACCAGCCTCTGCTGCCTTCTCGCCACCAAAAACTCCTTGCGGAGCAACGACTCCTCCCGCGCCCTCTCCTCCCCCAGCAGCCTCCGCGTCGCCCCCGCCAGCCTCTCCCCGAAGCCCATCTCGGCCTCCACCATAGCCACGAGGCCCCGCAGATCCTCCTCTTCCTCCACCAGCGCCTCCTCTTCCACGGCCAGCGCCCCTTCCTCGGCTTCCAACAAAGCTTCCAGCCTCCTCGCTTCTGTTCGCAGCCAGACAGGCACAGGGGAGGGCGCGTCTTTGGGACCGCGACCCTCTGGGGCCAAGTCCCGCGAAGCCAGGCCCTCGGGGAGACCATGACCCGCCACCGAGGACGCGCGCGCGGAGGGGAAGCCTGGTGAGAAGGATGGTCGATGCTGGAGCTCCTCGAGCCCTGCCAAGTAGGGCTCGTCTAGCAGGTAGGGCGCCGGGTCTGTGCCTCCCCCTTCCAGTCCCAGGCCCACCCCGACAGAGGCGGACACCAGAAGGCCTTTGCCGTCCTCCCCCGTGGCGAGCAAGCAGGAGGGATGTCGGCACGGTAAATGCAGGTGTGCGAGCTTCATGCTGGGGGGAAGGCACCACACATCGGGGAGGCGGAAGACAAATTCGGCCAGAGGGCTTTCCCCCGTTGCCGGTTGGCACGGCCACCATCCCCTCCACTTTCCGTTCTGACGCTCCCGAAAATGATCGGACAAGGTCTCTCTGTCGACATTGACGCCTTCATCGTAGGGGCCCGGAGCGCGAAAGACGCGAACGCAGAACTCCTCTCCGTGCGCCTCCGAGGGCGGCCGACACCCCCCTTCCTTGTTTTTCCCCTCCTCGTCAGTGTGCTCTGCGAATGGTTCCAAGTCCAGCACCAGCCAGGTTGGATTATACGTGCTGGGTGCCACTTGGCTCGTGTAGTGAACGCGGAAGTCGGCTTGAGGGGCGACGAGGGGGGTCAGTGGAGGGGAGGAAGAAGGAGGGGAGGACGAGGGGGGCGGAGGAGCTAGAACTTGGATGTAGGTAGAGGGTGGAGGGGCGCTGTTCACATCATCAGTGCTGATACCTAGGTTTCGGATTGAAATTGAGCGCAACTGTCGAAGCAATCGCTTTGAGTAGGGTTGAAAAGTGGAGAGATGCAAATCAGCAACAGGAGAGCTTGACGGATGAGAAGGTGGCATACGATTCGCAACAAAAACCCACTCAAGCTACACTAGCACCAAGAAATGGCCATGCAACTTTAGTCGCCATGCAATAATTTCGGACATGATTCTGCCACGATAGTTTCCTAATTTATGCCACGGTGATTTCCTGATTTCTTACAAAAAGCATTCTCCCCTCCTTCCGCGAAGTAGATGTGACTGCTATTTCCTCTGCTTCCATGGCGAGGCGCCCGAGGTGGACAAAGCCGCAGTCCACCCCTGAATGCGTGATCCTCCCCTGTGCATGTACAAGCTCGATGTAAGGCCGCATGCTGGCGAGACGGGACGGGGCATGTCACGGTGCGTCTGACCTCGGTGGGCGATTGACTCGCCTCACGTTCACGCGTGCGTCACTTGGCTGTTCCAAGGCCCATGTCCCCGAATCCCTCCTGCCCCAGCCCTCTTTCTGCCCTTTTTGACGTCCTCTGTGAGCATACGTGCTTTCCAGAGTAAAATATCATATCTTTAGATATTTTCGAAGCTCCAGGCAAGAGGAAGGTGGATTGAAAGGACAGAATTTTGTCTAATTTTGTGTGTGTCATATCTACAGATAAGCAAATCGGAACAGGTCGTCTGCTATTCCGAGCCACCCTTAAGTCCAATACAAGGGACCAAAAATGCGATTGCAGCAATCTACTGTAGTATTATGCCTCCTTCTGGGCTACATACTCTGTTATTTTGGTTCACCTAACACCTCTGGTGTCATGGTGAGCGCAGCAAAGGCTCTCGAAGAGGGCGAAGAGAAGGCTTCAGCAAGGCGTTCGAACACCCGCGGGGCAGAAGCAAAACGCATGAGGGGGATGAAGGTGGACGTCATGGGCGGACTTGAGAGCGAGGATGATGACAATGAGGTTTGGGCAGAAGACGAAGACGTGGACGAGGAGGAGTATGACGATGACGACGAAGAAGCGGACGAGGAGGAGGAGGAAGGAGAAATTGCAGATGACACTGACGACGAATTAGACGATGATGAATACGACAGCATTGACGACGATGAGATGTTGGATGACGCGGGGGAAGAGCATGTGAAAAACGTGCAGAGGAAAGGCAAGAAGAAGGTGAAGCCCGTTGTCTTGGACGATGTGGCAAGCAAGGACGGAGAGCTGCGGGGGTCTCTCATCCTTGACGAGATCAGCAGCTACATGGTCGAGGACTTCGAAGCCCCCGGGGGCACCATCACTTACTACAAGGTGGTGCTCCATCTCTCAAACGCCGGGCAGCGGCCCCTCTGCGGGATGACCGTGGCGGTGCCCCCCAAGCGCGGCATGGAGATCGAGCAGCTCTGGACGATGGAGGAGTCGGAGATCGAGGACGTCTACGACGTTTTGTGGACCGACTACGTCCCGCCCAAGGACCCGAAGCATGGAGTGCGGTACTTCGGTCTG